CTTCCGGTGGCCCTGTCACCACCTGGAAAGCTCTGGCCGGCACAGAAGACGATGGAAAAGGAAAAGCCTGGCAGCTTCTCAGAAGTTGGGAGCGGCCACAGGCCGAGCGGGAGCAGGAGCGGGAGCGGGAGGCAGGATTGAGCAGCGGATCCTTTTTCATGAAAGGGAAAGGCGTTTTAAAGCTTCCTTACCAGCTTGCGGAGAAAGCCGGTGTGCCGCTGGGCGCTCCTGAGGGTGCAGGTGACCTGGGCCGCTCTGCCTCTAGCGCCCCCAGCGGAGGGCTGGAGCATCGCACGCCTCTGAGGTGGTGTCTGGACACGCCCACCGAGAGGGCTCTGCTGGGCTCTGCTTTTGGCATGCGCCCTTCTCAGGTCCCATAGGTTCCCTCGGTGTAGTCTTCACAGAGACAGCTTTTGTTTTCACGACACTGTGGGAACACGACAGAGAGCTGAAGCCCTGGTGCACGACAGCATGTAGGCGAACCTTGGAAACATGGTGCGAAGCCAAGTCAGTCTGACACAAAAGGACAGACAGGCAGCCAGCAGGCTCCTGAGAAGGAAGGGTGCCCAGACTCCACCGCAAGTGCTTTCGACGTGTTATCGGGCTGGTCCCTGGAGAAAGATGTTGCTTGGGTAAAGTGGGGGTCGGCACTTTAAGAGGAAGACGTGCAGTGAGACGGCTTGGCACAGTGCCTGCAGCAGCGGTGCACACAGAGAAAGGGTGCAGGACCCGACAGCATTTTATTCTATTGTACTCGGCTGAGCAGTAAGTCAGAACCAACTGCCGGCCGGCACCTCACAACGACCACTCAACATCTCCGAACCAAGAACCCAATCTCTGCCATCGAGTCATGCAGACTCCTGGTGACCCTGGAGGACAAGGTCACAGAGTAGGAAGTCCCTTCTTCCTCCTGAGGCTAGAGATGGCTGCGGGGTTTCCTCGGGCGCCTGAGGAACTCACTCACTTGGCGTCGCTCGTGTGGAGCCTGGACCAAACACTGAGCTGCCGGCCTGAGGGGCGGCGGCGACAAGACCCCTTCCTCACCGCTGCATGGGATCCCGGTGCCGCACAGCAACCCCACAGGACAAGACAGAACTGTCCCACAGGCTTTCCAAGGCTGCCAGAAACCAACAGCATTCAGGCGGCTGGTGGGATTGAACTGCCAACCTTTGGGTTAGCCGAGCACTTAACCATGGTGCCACCAGGGGTCTATAAAGTGACAGCCACAACCCAAAAGGTCAGATGGCAGCCAGGTGGGGGAGGAACAGCCCAAGAAGCTGGCCAGGATGGCTGTACGAGGCGGCGTGTCATCTGGGAGGAGGGCTTGTACCTGGGGAAACTCAGCTGAGTATGTACATGGGGAGGGATGGGAGGAGAGTGACCGCCACTCAGAGGCACCCCCCTGACTGCAGGACCGACCGAGCCCAGTGTACAACTGCACCCTACCCGCCCTTGCAGTGGGTGGGGAGCCTTTCTGTATTGTCACAGCCTGAGACCACTGCACACGATTCCTTCTTAGGAGACCCTTCCTCCACTTTCAGACCTTTCAGCTAAAATTTGTGAAAGAAAGCAAAATACAGGCCAAGCATTATTCCAACTGTGCAAGCACATCACACATAGTGAAAAAAGGTATCGTTGGGAAAACAGGTTTGTGAGAAGTAAAAACAGTGTTTTACTTCTCCCCCATTCCCTGCGGTCGTACAGTGAAAGGGCTGGGGAGTGCATCGTCTCACTCTTTACTGCTGAAAGTCTCCACAGCAGACCATGCCCCAGTCAGCTCTTTCTGCACGTGGCGTCCGGGGCACTGATGGCACCCTTCTCACCAGCTCTCTGAATTGCCCCACCCCACTGCCGTGACCTCTGCCCCCGAGCTTCCTAGCTACAGTGCGTAGCAGGACTGCAGCCCGCTGCCACTTAGTCCCATGTCAATATTCTCTGAAAGAGCGCAATGCACAAGGCACACATGTGCTACTTAATATTTGGTTTAAAGAAGGCCGAAGGGACATGTTGGTCTAAGGTGTAAAGATGGTGTCAGGGCAGTAGGGTTTGTTTGGCTGTGTTTGGTGGGGAGGGAGGGGCTCATCCAGCCTTCGTGGCTCCACAAAGTAGAGTCTCTGTGAGCATTTGGAGTTCTGTTCTGCATTTCCCCCTTTTTGATCAAGAGTTGTCTACAGTCTTGGGTCAGAACGGTCAGTCAGGGTAGCTGCTGCTCTCCCGATGGTCCCTCAGCCCTCGGAGAAGGGCTGAAGGTTTCGGTGCTCGAGGTTCAGTAACTCCTCAGGAACTGGCTCTGCATCCAGGTCCCCAGGGTCAGAGAGGATCCCACCAGGGCCAGGCCTGTAGCAACCAGGAGAATGTATGCCAGATCCCAGGGGAAGCCCTACCCAGTCCTGAGCAAATGAGACCGTTGAGGGTGTGAGTTTGGCATTAGAAATGGATCTTGTGATTATATGAAACTGAAAGATCTCTTGATTTGTCATGTGAGACTAAAAACAACACCTATGTAACTTATTGTTGGCGCACTCACCTTTGTAAATGCAACACCTTGGAATGCACAATAGCCTGTAACCCGTCACATCCAGAGGAAAGGCGAGGGGAGGGGCGAGGGGAGGAGCATGCAGGTCCCAGGGGAGCAGAAGCCTGGCTCTCTGCTGCTCCGTGCCGAATGCTCAGGAGGGTTATTTACGCCAGAGCCCCCACACCAGCTGCCCTTGTTCCTGCCCGTTTTTTTTCCATTCCTTCTCCAAGGAAAAAACCCCGGGGAGAGGGGCTCCCCCCTTGCCAGGGGGGGGCACTGTGTGGAAAGTGCCGACACGAGAAGAGGATCGTGAGTGACACATGGGACAGGATCGTGCTTTGATGGAGAGCGTGAAAACAGACTGGACAGGAGGGAACACGAGCAAACCCAACCTCCGGTGTCCAGACTGCAAAGGGCTCTTGCAACGTAAACAGGAAAGCACAAGTAGCCCAGGATAAAAATGGGCCCAGGCTCTGAGTGGGCATTTGCTTTGCCTCCCACAGCTCTCACCTGGTTTTCACCTGGGCTCAATAACCTGGGCTCAATCACCTGGGCTCACGATTCTGGGGTCCACTAGGGAAGTTCAAGGCTAAATTCAGGTGAGAAATGCGTAGGACACAGTTGCTTCTCTGACAGGGCAGTTTCTTCTCAGCTTGCCTGCAGGCAGGCCTCTCTCCTTCCGGCCCTGAGCCACTTGGCCAGGCCTCTGCCCTGCTTGGGCTATGTGACAGCTCTTTTGTGACTGCTGATAAATGCCCAAAGCGTACTCTTTGCTGTAAGCTTCATCCTGAAGACACTCAGTTCCAAATCCATGGACAGCAAACCCAGCTCCCTGAATTAAGTACCCGGAGGCACCCATTCCACAAGCCAGCCAACTGCCTAAAGCTGTACTAGCTCTGTGGGTGGGAAGTCCATCTCTGGCTGCTGCTCTGGCTCCTGGGTCTGCTGCTCCTCCTCTGGTACTCACAAGGAGGCTCAATGCCTACGGGTTCGCAGGGTCCAAATGACATGCTCCACTCCTGTCTCTTCCCTCCCACTGACAAGTAACCCTGCCAAACATCGCACACAAGTGTGTCATGTATCCTACCAGTGTGTTTCCCCGTGTGCCCATCAGGAAAGGGGCGGTCGTTTTGGTGGGAGTAATAGAGAGTGGCCAGAAGGGCTATGTTAAGTACTTCACTGCATTACAGCATTTCATCAGGAAATACACACACAGCCAAGAGGTAGCACACAGAAAGGTGATGGACACTGTTAGCCATTAGGAAAGGGCAACTGTAAACCTCAACAAGATAAGTGCTTCACAGCCACCAGGACTCCAAAGACCAACCCGCCCACCCCACCCAACTCCTAGAGATCATCCTATGTGGCATTTCCAGGGCTATGAATCTCTATAGGAGCAGCCAGCCTCATCCTTCTCCTGCAGGGAGACTAGTGGGTTTGAACTACCGACCTTGCGGTTAGCAGCCAACCCCTAACCCACAGTGCCATCAGGGCTCCTTGATCACTGGGATAGGTGTTATCAAAGAGACAGTGACAGGTGTTGGCAAGGATGCAGAGTCATGGGACCCTCATGCGTTGTTGGGAGTAGGGTGGGGGGCTAACATGGTGCCGCCTCTTTGGGAAAACAGTTTAGCAGTTCCTCAGAAAGATAAATGTAGAGTTGTCACGAGATCCAGCAATGCCCCTCCCCCCCCCAGGTGACAGCCCAAGAGAAATGAAATAGGCGTCCACACAGAAACCACAGCTCGGACCGAGGGCTCACTATTCACAACGGGCAAGAGGGGGAACAACGTGTTTGCCGGTCACTGGTGAAGAGAGACTAAGCACAGTCTGCACAGTGGCCAGCGGCAGTGTGTGTGTGCACTGTGTGCAGTGCAGTGTGTGTGTGCACTGTGTGTGTACAGTGTCTGGGGGGTGCCGACTGAGAACGCAGTTGCAAAAGACCATGCGCCTGCTCCCTGCATGGAGTCCTGGAGAGGGAGGCACACCCACAGCAGCTGAGCAGATGGGTGATCTCCAGGGACTGGGGGCCCAGGGTGTCTCCTGGGGAGAGAAGAACGTTCTCTGAGACCCCGTCACAGTGCCAGCATCCAGCTGTGTGTGTCAGACTGGGCTTTGCAGTCCATGCGGGACGCTCCGTCTCATTCAAGCGGTTCTGCAGACATGGGCTTGTGTGTTTCCCTGTGGCTGCTGACCGAGCCGTGCTTTCTGCTTCTGCTTTCGGCATCCCAAGGCCGGCGAGCAGATGCAGGGTGATTCCTGTGCCACCACCGCTCTCAGCCCAAAGGGGACACCCACGTGTTGGCACAACCAAGCCTGGGGAGCCTGCTGCCATTTGAGTTGGGGGGACTCCCAGAATTCAGAGACAGGCCTCTGCCCAGCTATGCTACTTCCGCTCTGCACACGGGACCTCCCAGACCAGGGCAGAGGAGGGGACCTCATAGGACTGCCAGGCGCTCGAGAGGCGGTGGGGACAGAGGCACACCTCACAGTGACTGCGACAGCCCCCTCTTGTCACCCTCTGCAGTGCGGGGCCGCCTTCCAGGAGCACGACGTCATTGTGCTCAACGGCACCAAGGGGGACGTGGAGCTGCTGAAGGCCCGCATGGAGGAGAGGCGGCTGCGTGCCAAGCTGGGAAAGGTAAGGACGGGAGTCCTCACCTCTGGAGTCCTGCCGGGTCCTTCCTGCCCTGCCCGTCCTGTAACTGCAGAGTGGGACCAGATTGACGGCAGCCAGGGGACAGGGGTACAATGGGCTGATACTCGTGGAGAGGGACAGCTCGGTAAGGGAAGGGGGAGCCCAACTGGAGATTCCTCTGGCCACCACTGGACAATGCGTGCAGACTCTGTGAACCAGTGCTTGGTGTGTTTCTATTCTCAACAACTTTGTGAATGGAAAAGGGGGCCGGGGCCAAGGCTATATACTAAAGGCAGCACTCCCCCACACTGTGCTCAGTGCCCAGCCCCCCCCTTCCTTCCCTCCAGCCCTGTGCTCCAAGCCCAGCAGGGACATGAGCTCTGGGACTGCCGCTTAGACACGGCTCCCAGGAAACCAAACAGCCCCAAACACGCGGGCCGCCAGGTGCTCCCGCTCCCCAGGCTGCTGGCTGCTGGCTGCTTCCCCGGGCAGCGCCCCCTGCGCCCTGCACCCTGCACTGTGTGGAATGAACTACATGTGGCTGTAACAAATCCCAGGCTGTCACTTTGAGCAGGCAGTCAGGGAGCCCTCTCATGTCTGCTAATGACAAAACACTCCAACCTCAACTGCCACCAAGTCGATTCCGACTCTTAGTGACCTTACAGAGTGAGTCTCCCAAACCCATGGGCTCACTTCCACGCCGTCCTATATGGTTGCAGGGAGTTGGCTAGTGCAGGGCGAATTCAATGAGCTGTGTGTCTAGCGCCACCTTTTGGATCTTTAGGAAAAGGACTGAGCCCGGCAGCCCTCTGACTGCTCCCTCAGACTCACTGCCATCGAGCGGTGCCGACAGGGCGGTTTCCGAGAGCGGGACCCTTCACTGGAGTAGGAAGTGGCGTCTTTCTCCTGCAGGGCAGCTGGTGGTTTCAAACTACTGGCCTTAGGAATCGAGCCCAACACGTAACCACTACACTACCAGGGCTCCTTCTCTGACTACTACTATTCCCCTTTTCTTTTTCAACAGAAAACAAAGAAACCCAAAGCAGCAGAGACCGTGTCAAAGCCAGATGTCCCTGAAGGTAAGACACCGAGGAGGGATGCTTGTTGTAGATGAACGAACGAGGGCCCCACAGTGTCCTGAGTCCTTGCTGTATCCATTTCTCTCACAGAAAGTACAGGGCCATCGGCTGTCACAGGCGGGAAGCCCGAGGAAACGAGCCTTGACTCCAGGGAGAAGGCCGGCCTGGTTCCCAAAGGCCCAGGTGGGTGTCTCAGAGGCCACAGGGGTGGCTGGGGGACTGGGCACTGGGCACTGACCCTCCTTCCCCCATGGTCTCTATTGATTTGGGCAAGCCCACGGGGCTCACATGTCTTTTAGGGTCTAGTTTGTGAACCTTTGTCATAAACAAGGTCTTGAAGCTTCCCCCCGTTTTCTGCTGAGAGTTCTGTGGTTCTGTACTTACTGGGGCATGAATGGTTTGGGATGCGTTTCCATGTATGGTGTGAGATGTGGCTCCAGTTCATTCTTCTGCTTGTAGAGATCCAGCTGTCCCTGAACGTCTTTGACGACGCTTACTCCCCTGTGGGGCAGGCTCGGTGCCCTTGTCGGGAAGCACTTGGCTGTAGATGCATTGGTTTATTTCTGGAGGGAGTCTCAAATTCAATTCCATTGGTCTATATCCCCGTGCCACACTGTTTTGATCATTGTCGTATTGTGTTATGTCTTGAAATCAGGGTATTTGGCCGAAGTGTTCCTGGTTTCCTTACGCCTGGGTTGTGAACCCACCCACATGGCACTTAGAGCCCTTCCCCTCCTTCCTCCGTCTGTCAGAGCAGTTTGGTATGCAGTCCAGAGTTCAGTGCGTTGCTCTTGAAGCGTGCCCTATGTGGTTCAGAGACAGTAGTACTTATTTCCCGAAAGAAATACATGGATTCATTAGGCCAAGGACTGTGTGTCGTGATCTTGTGTAACAAATTGTACCTGTAGAGGTTAACAGGGTAGACCAGGAGCCCTGTTGGCATAGCGTCCCAACAGGTCAGCAGTTGGAAACCTCCCGCTGTTCCTTGGGAGAAAGACGGGGCTTTCTACTGCCATCGACAGTCACAGTCTCCGAAACCCACAGGACAGCTGTACCCCATCCAGTGGTGTCACTGTGAGTCGGCACTGACTCGATAGCGGCGAGATTGGCTTTTTCGGTAGAGGTTAAAAGGCATCTTGATAGTGCAGTGATTAAGCACTCGGCTGCCAACAGGGGGTGGGTGGTTTGAGTCCCCCAGTGGCCTCGTGAGGGAAAGGCCTGTGATCTGCTCCTATAGAGCTGTCAAACCTGGGACCAAGAAGCCCCCCTGCCCAGTGCTCCCCGCCATGCCGGGTGTCTGAGGAGGCTGGGCAGCCTGACACCCAGACCTCGTTGGGGTGCTAACGATGCCGTTCAGTAAAACAGGTAAAGAGGTGGCACCTGAGAGTCTGTGTCACCCCTCTGGTCCCAGGAGGTCAGGTCGACAGAGATGCCTTTTGAGGAAGTGGCATTGGGTGCAGTAGAGTCCTAACCTTCTGTGTCTGGCTCTTTGCTTTTCCAGCACCGGGTGGGAGTGCGTCTGGGAAAGCCGGGAAGGCTCCATGTGCAGCCATGAAGCGGCCCATCGACGACAGCCACCAGTCTGAGACCTACAAGTCCCTCTTCACGTCTCACAGCTCTGCCAAGCGCTCCAAGGAGGAGTCCGCCCACTGGGTCACCCACACCTCCTACTGCTTCTGAAGCCGTGCCCAGCCTTCCCGCCTGAGACCATTAAACAAGCACGGCTGTGCTCACCACTGTGTGCTGGCCTCCTCCCTGCTCCCCTGCAGACTCAGGGAAGCGGCACTTGAGCGCGGATGGGTTTCTGCTATGCACAGCCTGCTGCCGGCATCTCTGCCTGCCGCCGCTGTGCACCCAGCCTGGGAGGAGGTGGGCACCTGCTGCTGCAACATGAATGGGGTGCATGGGTGACTGCCAAGAGCAGGCAGGTAGTCCATTCCTCAGACTCAGTCTGAATTCAGAGTGTGCTCAGCAGAGAGTGGGCGTGGGGGTCCTTTGTCAGTGTCCACCTCCAGTCCCCCCAGTCCCTGTAGTTCCTGACTTCTCAAGCCATCTGCCCCACTGTCACCAGAGAGCATCTGCCAGGCTTTCCTCCTCAGGGACTCATAAGTGATGAGGTTCAGGACCCTCCTGGGTTGATAGGGCCCCGGTAGTGTAGCAAAGCCTAGTTCTCAGACAGGACTGCATTGGCAGGTGTAGGCTTGGGGTCCCGCAGTCTTAAGGCCATCATTTAATCCATACCAGGCACCTGGTGGCAGGGTGGGATACATCAGTGGAGTCTGTCTTTTCTCTCCATGTTTTCATTGTTTTCTGCCCTGCCTGCCGCTGTTTGGACGCTAAGATTGCTGCCATGGCATCAACGGCGAGATGAGGCATTTCCTGATGTCACGGGAACTCCAGCAGCAGGTGGGGGGCGGGGGGGCTCGTGCCTGAAATCCAACCCCACCCGCCATGGTGTGTGCTGAAGCCATAGCTCCTGATGTCCTCAGAAGACCCCAGCTAAGGACCAGGAGGGGCCCGCCCCACACTGCTGCCACAGACAGACGCTGTCCGTGGACTCATCACCCCCAGGCACAGGGCCCCCCCCCACTTCCCTGGGAGGCGGCCATGGGGTTGGGGTGAGAGGGGGCGCCACCAGGAGTGTCCTGGGCTGGAGAAGTGGGGGTCCCAAGGCAAGGCTGTAGAATTTTACCCTGCCTGCCTCTTCAAAGCCCTGCTCTGCTGTGGGGAAGGGGGGCTGGGAGGCAGGAGTGACAACACGGCATTTGGCCCCGAGGCCATTAGTGAATGTCGAGCTGAAGTGCATTGATAGGTGGTTGAGGCTTCACACGGAGCCAGAACGGCCCCTTCATTTCCTGGCCCCTCTGCGCCAGCCCGCAGGCATCCTGGGCATCCCGATCTGCTCACAGCCATGGGTTAACCCACTTGCTACCGGTTGCTTTCTTTCCCTTGCGATCGGCCCTTTTTTTAATTGGTTAAAGTTCCTTTCATTCCAGTCAGTTCTTTTCCATTGTTCGCTTAGAGGGCCCTGGGTTGATGAGTTCTCTCTTCATGAGGGTCCCTGTCCATCCCAGTGGCCTCTCTGGAGCGTGTTGCGTTGTCCCGCCGGGGCCTCTGTCGTTTGTGCATCCAGCTGGGTGGCTCAGCCACGGCTGCTTTTCACAGCGCCCTCAGCACCCTGCTTCCCTGCAGGACCCTATCCAGACGACGCCCCCAGGACCTGCCTTACTCTAGGGCCTCCCGCTGACCTTTGCCCTCAGGTCACTCCATGCCACCTCACCCCCCTTCCCCACCTCCATCTGACTGGCCCAGGGAGAAGGGCTTTCTCTGGAGATGACCATCCAGCTGCCCGAGGGAACCAGCCAGGCGAGCACAGCGAGGAGGGAGCGCAGTGTCAGGCAGTGGGCAGTGTC